ATCTTATTTTCTCTAACTTTTGTATGAGCTAATAAATTATAAAATTGAAGAATTCCATTGGTAGAGAACAAAAATTAAGGTTAGTATCAAACAAAAGGGCGTCTGTACTGGGAATGGAAATAAAAATAATCGCAAAGAAAACCAAGTATATGTATTGTACTAGATCAGGCAACCGGATACCTAGACTATTAATGATTGATGATCTGGATTTGGAAGGTGTGGACACCTTCGTCTACCTGGGCTCACTGCTGACCAAAGACAACAATGTCAGCGAAGAAATTAAAAGAAGAATAGTGCTTGCCAATAAGTGCTATTATGGCTTGAGGAAACAGATGGCTCCAAAACTACCCAGAAAAGTTAAAATTACCATATGGACTATGGAAAAAGGAAAGAAAGGGATTGTAAATCTCCTTTTATTAAGAGTAAGAAAACAATAAGATCTCCAGCCAGCCATAAAGGACAAGACGAATCTGAGAGTAAAGACGTAGGTAATGAATATTTACTAAGAGAAATGTATAAAGAGCTAATATAAATAAGAAAAAAAATCGAGAATATAAAGAAGAGAGAATAGAATGAAAAGTCATAACCATTGAAACTTATGCAGATAATACCGTTGTTATGGAATCTCACAAAAATCCTGTTATGACTTCTTAAATCTTGCAGACTCACTTGGATGTTATTGGCTTTTGATTAAAAATCTGGTGAATTGAAGCAAATCAAATTAAATATATCCATGTGACCTACACCCTACGAAGCGGTGCCTGTCTAACTGTGACATTATATGGTCAGTTCTTGCAACAAAAAGATGTTAAATATCTGATAATCTGAACAGACGATTAACTTGGGCCTAAAACTTAGCAAATTATACTGGATTATAGATCATAAATAACAATTAACAGTCACCAATACATTGTTTCGATACACTACCCACACGATTATAATGGGCGATTTTAATGAGAAAATGGTCAAAAAACTAGAAGAAAACGAAAACTGTATTGGAGAATTTGGACATGGAGTAAGAAATGAAAAAGGAGATCTATTGGTTAATTATCTAGAAAACAACAAATTATTTGCCATTAAACTCTTTCTTCAAGAAAAATCCACATAGGAAATGGACGTGGATGTCGCCTGATGGGAACACTAAAAATGAAATTGACTACATACTAACAAACAAAAAAAAAACATTTTCGAAGACGTCACAGTAATAAACTCAATAGTGATCACAGAATGATACGGGCTAAAATAAGTATTAAACACAAAAAAGATCGAAGACAATATGTGCACTCTAAGAATAAAGTCCACCAGAAAAATTAAAGGAGAATAAAGAACAATACCAAAACAAATTAAGAACAGCTGAAGAACTAAAGCAGACACTAACAGACACTAGCAGAACTAACAGACCTAAATCTAGGTCAACTAAACAACGCCATCACTGAAGAACTTCTAAAGACTATCTTAGAAGTAGCACCAGCAAAATCTGACAAAAACTCAAAACTAAGTGTCATATCTTTAGACATGCTACAACAACGGAGAAGCCTACTACAAGAAAATAAAAGAAGTATAACTGAATACAAAACCTTTAATACAGAAATAAGAAGACATATAAAAAAAGATCTCAAACGGCATCAAGAAGAACGAATCGAGAAGATTATAGAAGAAAACAGAAACTTAAGATCTATCAAGTACCACCCACGAAGACATAAAATCATAGAGATGGAAAATAAACAAGGTGTAATAGAAAAAAGCAGAACCCAAATATCTAGATAACAAGGGAATATTATAGTGACCTCTATAGCTCTAAAAACAGTCCACCTGATACAACTCAACAAAAACTGAAAAAGAAAATAATGAATGTAACTCTGAAATATTACCCCCAAAACCGGAGAAGAAATAGAAAAAGCAATTAGAGATATAAAAGAAATAAGGCCCGGGAGAAGATGAAATTCTAATTGAAATGTTAAAGAAGGAAGGGAAAAGATAAAAGACTACCTAAGGATACTTTTCAATAAATGTTTGTTTAAAGGAAAAATACTGCAAGAGTGGAACAAGGCAAATACAATTATGATATATAAGAAAGGAAATAGTTCAAAATTAGCTAACTATAGACCAATATCTCTCTTGTCACAAATCTATCAAACTTTTACTAAGGTGATCACAACTAGACTAAACAACAAATTTGATGCATACCAACCAGTTGAGAAGGCAGGATTTAGAAAGGGGTACAGCACAACCGATCACCTTCACACTCTTAAAATATTGATAGAAAATTCCAACGAATACAAACCTTCCAATATACCTAGCGTTTGTTGACTATCAAAAAGCGTTTGACAGCATATAACTATTGGCAGTGGAAGAAGCGCTAGTTAATTGCCGAATAGATTCACGATACAGAATGTTAATCCACAATATATATCAAAACGCCACTATGAGAATTCAGCTAGACAGAGCTTTGGAAACTCCATTAATTAGAATTTGTAGAGGTGTCAGACAAGGGGTCACAATCTCACCCAAACTATTTACTCTGGCGTTGGAAGACATTTTTAAATCTATAGACTGGGACAATAAAGGGATTTGTATAAACGGGAAATCATCTAAGATTCGTCGATGATGTACTCCTGATAGCAACAACTATGGAACAACTACGAATAATGATTTCAGACCCAGAAAAAACATCTCTTGAGAAAGGACTAAAATGAATCTAAAGAAAACTAAAATAATGACTAATACAGAAGACAGATCAGTATTTACTATAGGTGGGTACAGTAGATTGTAACATAGAACAAGGCCAAGAATATAATAATATTTACTTAGGACAAGCTAGAATTAACCAGAAGAATAAGAATGGAGTATTCGGAAAACTCTCATATACTATTAAAACCCAAAAAATACCTTTAAAATTAAGAACGAAGGTATTTAATGCATGCGTCCTACCTGTTTTGACATATGGTGCCCAGACGTGGACGTGTAGCAAGAGCAACTTAGATAGAATAAAGAAAACTTAAAGAGCTATGGAAAGACAAATGTTGGGAATATCGTTGAGAGATAAAAAGAGGAACGAGTGGATAAGAAGCGAAACCGAAACAACAGACGCTGTCGAACATGCATTGAAATTAAAATGGAAATGGGCTGGACATAACGAAAGATATCAGATATCAGGATGGAAAGATGACATTGAGCAAAGCACAGGTCCAATGTGGAAAAGACAAACAGAAGACAGAGACAAATGGGAGAGGATTATGTCCAACACATGAATAGATTTTGGGCTATAGATAGATAGATAGAACAAATTGTTAATTTACAAAGTTGCCTTAAATCGATATGGAGCTACGGAATTCAATTGGAATTCAATACGAAATTCAATTCAATTCAATGGGGAACAGAACCATACTCAAATATCGAAATCCTAAAAAGATTTCAGTCCAAAGTACTTAGGATTATCGAAATCGCTTCATGGTACGTAACTCACAGCGTTATTACTCGTGATATTAAAATGAAGTCTATTCACGCATAGAAAATCGCCCCAACGCATTGATTAAACCCTTAATGAGATGTCCCGTTCAGCGAAGGTTAGGAAGGCGTCTTCCATGTGATCTGCCTGTCAGATTTTTCGAACCTTTGTACTATTCTGTAGTGTAGTGTACCCAAACCCAACTTTGTAAAAGATAAAAGTTAAAGGAAATAATCACTGGACATTTTTGCTAGATGTTTGGTTACTGTCATTAATAGGTGCCATTAAAATTGGCATTAAAATTTGTTAAATTTTACAGATTGCAAATTAAATGGAATGGGTAAAGAAATAATAAATAAGACTTACTTACAATCAATTTAATTTAACTATACAGACGACCGGTTTCGCTTTGTACAATATGCAAGTAAACAGTTGTTTGACAGTAAACGGGAAGAACTTCCCGTTTACTGTCAAACAACTACAATACGATACCTAAGTTCTCCATTCAACAATACATGATAGTTTCAACCATGCTCTACCATCCATCAATTAATAGAGTACCGGCATCATTTATTTAACTTTGTATCGAGACCTGAAGATGCTTTGCATATTGTAGAAAGCGAAACCGGTCGTCTGAATAGTTAAATTAAATTGATTGTTAGTAAGTCTTATTTATTATTTCTTTACCTATTTGAAATGGACTTACACAAGCAACACATTCATGATTTAAATGGAATGTTTGAAAAAAAAAGTATGTGAAAAAGGAATGGGCTAAGGCAATCTCCCTGCTTGATGCTGGATGAGACTCTCTAACAAGAGAACTGATAAGTTTTTTCCCCGTTGGTGAATTTAACCATCCTATTATCGTCATTTTTGCAGTTAATTACGTACTTACAGTGTTATGTTTTTCTATTTTATCTTTATATTTTTTTTATTATTACAGACTTTTATTATAAAATTATAAACTTTTGTTATAGACCAGCTCATTTCTGTGACGTTATGTGACGTTATTGTGTTATAATTTTTTTAAATTTAAAATCACATTTTATTAATTAAAATATACACAAATAGGTCAAAAATGTGAAAATATATAAAAACTAGAGCAAAACTCACTATTCCATAGATAATATTAGCTTAAGTACATACACTCTACCACTTATAACTATTCAAAAAATTCGCTCTTAATATATTTATCATCTCTAAAATTCCTCAACCTTCACTAAAACAATTTGAAGGTATTTTAATAAACTAACAAATTATAAAACTTATCAATTAACTAAATTTCAAAGTCCTAATATTTTTCTAAGCTTTCATTACTGCATTTGGAAAAAGATATTCTTATTAATACGTGTTAAAAAAGAATATTTTAATATCAGTTAAATGTTTTTATTTACATACAACAACGTGTACCCTGTCAACAAGAATCCAACTAAAATATTTCCACTAATATTTTATTTGCTAAAAGACATTCCGACAGATTATATTAACAACGATTTAACTAACAGTTAGAAGAATAACCACTTATTTACAAATTATAACTTCCGAAGTATAGCTACCTCCAACTTCTTTGATTTAGGTCAAGGTCACTGAAATAGTACGATGTGTATAGGTAAGAAGCGATTATGAGAGCGAATATGTTGAATGAGCTGTTGGACAATCCATCAGAGCCCGTTTGCATTGCAGCTGGCATTTCACCTAAAAGAGAGAAACGACATTATTAATTACCCAGTTTAACCGAATATAATTTATTTAATCAAATTACAAAATAGTTTTGTTTTTGATAACTTAAACTACTAAGATCATACTTCGGCTTCAAGCCATTTTTTGTTGTTTCTTTTCGACAGGAAAGATTTGTTTCAGGTTCAGAGCTTCTGTAACAGTCGCTCTGATGTGTCCTGTTAGGAAGAAATACGTATAAGCGAATATATAGAGGCACTGTACGTGAAGTAATTTCATAACTGTCTTTTTTTTATTTCGATATACTCTTTATGAGTACTAGAAACCAATTCGCCAAGGATTTTTGCTTAGATGAGGAAATATGTTGTGGAATGTAACTTTAGATTCCCATTTTCTCTCTTTAACATAGTTTAAAGCAAAAATCTGGATTTTGGTTTTATTAATAGAATCTTAATATATATTTTATATTTGAATACTATATAGCTCAATCGAAAACAAGGACATTATCATATCAGTAAGTTATGATTACGGTCACGAGGCTCTAGGCACATACGTAATGATTTATCAGCTTTCTCAACAATTACCAGGCTACTAAGCCACTGCGTAGGACCATCAACCTTTGCTATGATTCCTCGCTTTTCAAGATCACTTAGTTGATTATTAAGCTTAGGCTTGATCGTAAGTGGGACTCTACGAGGTGGCCTAGCCACTGGTACTACATTTCCTTTAAGCTTTAAACTACATTTTTCTGAAATTTACCTAAACCTGAAAAAACATCCTTATTCATTTCTACATTTTTTTTTCTTTAGAATGCAGTGTAATGTTATCAATTTTATTGATTAAATTAAGCTCTATGGTAGAACATAAATCCAAGATAGGTGTTGATCTTTCCTTTACAACAACAAAATCTAACAAATGATCAATATTTTTATATTTATAGACAAGTTTTATTATACCCAAAGGAATGATCTTAAAATCACCATATGTCTACTAAAGTATGATCTTATTTCCTTTTAATTCATTAATTGTGCAAACTTTTTCAACCTCCTGTCCCTGACCCCTGACCGACCCTGTATCTATTTTAAAAGGTATATCAACATTATTAATTTTTAAATTTTCCATCCAGTCTTTATTATTTTTATTCTTAATTTCATTAACAGTGATTGATGAAATCACGAAATCGACCATACTTCATTATATTTCACTTTCTTCCACTTGCACGTCTCTTACTAACCTACTATGATAACACACTTTATCAAAATGCACATATTTATCACACTTTCTACACTTTTTTTCATATGATGGACACCTCCTTGGTACATGGACACTCCCACAGTTTCTGCGGTTAAATTCACCTCTAGAAGAACTTGCACCCCTTACTGTTTGGACTGAATTATGCCCCTAATTGACTTTACTTCCAATCAATTCAATTTTCACCTTCTCTAAGCTGTTCTGAACTTCTTTTATTTGAGCTTGGGATACTTCATGCATTTTACATATTTCAATAGCTTCAGTCAGATCTAAATTAATTGTTTTTAACATGCGTTGTTGTGCATCCTTACTATTGGTGCCTAATACTATTCTATCTCTTACCATTGAAAATGCTTTAACCCCAAACTAACAATTTCTTACTCTATTTTTTAAATCTGTTAAAAAGTGATCAAAAGGCTCTCCTTCTTGAATGCGCTAATAAAGCAAATATCTTTCATAAACTACTTTTTTTCTAGGGATGACATAAGAGTCAAATGCTTCCAATACATCTGCTTTTGACTGATTTTGATGTATGTTTATGGTATTGTTCGTAATGCGCATGTCCAGTTTTTCAAATTTTTATTATATATTTTTTGCGTCTTATATAGTTTTTAAGCATATACCCGAACTACTGTACTCGATAAAACGACACTCAGTCCTAACTGCAAGACGCAAGAGTCTCGCAGGCTTAGTCTTGTTTTTGCATATAAAAATCTTGCAGGGTCAGTCTTGGTCTTGGTCTTGCTAAAATTAGGCGGTCTTGGTCTTGCGAAAACGCAAGAACAAGACCAAAACTGCAAGACCAAGGCCGATTTTGGGCAACACTATGAACTAGAGGAACCTTTAACCTCCCAGATGAATGGTGAAAATAGAACTAGTGCTAGACTCAAAAGAGCTCCAGTGCGTTTTAATGACTATCAAATGTAAAAAGGGAATGATGTCATATCAGTAGGTTATGATTACGGTCACGGGACTCTAGGCACAATGGATGACTCGTTGTCAGTTGTCGCTACTTGTGAGAGGCATCATTGTTAGAACATGGGATTTTGGATATTGTTGATTTTTGCAGACATTTTGTTAAAAGGTATGTTTAAATAAATGTATTGAGCACAATGAAATATTATTACTGACATAACGCTCTTAGTACTTACCATTTAATACATAAACTCTTATACTTGCGACGTCAGCGTTTGAAGGGCTGCAGGAATATTTTCCAGAGTCCGATATACCAGCATGCTGGATTAGCAAGAAGCTTGTAGTAACATCGCCTTTTTCAGTAATCACGCTTACGCCACCACGGCTGGAATCATAGCTGATAACCTGTTAAACAAAGAAGATAAATTTAAGCAGAGCCATCGAGAAAAATCGCAGTTAGAGCCAATCATCATAATCAAAATCTTCTCATAGCAGAATTATGGTAGAACGAACTTTTTCAGACCGATTTTCATTCAATAAATAATTAAAGGATTTTCAAAGTTTAATAAGGAAAGCCCAAAATAGGGAAGACTTTGCAGAGGTTATCACCAACCTTCGTTAAGAAGACGACACCCAAAGAAGAAATAATTAAAACAAAAAAATCCTCTAGTAATGTAATATTTATTATAGTATTAAAAAAAATAACTCCGCCTCCGGTAAGTGCTGAGTGGATTGAGTAGCTCAGTAAATGCCGGTGCCGGTCCCAAGCCCAAATAAAGGAGGAGGGTTGAGGCGATGGGCTAGCAACATCCCTTATCAAAAGAAACAAATGCTACTAATTTCGACCAAAAGCCTCGCTGGGTATACCGTAGATCAGAATGTGGATCCGACCATAGGTACAGAATATAGAAAAGGGACAAGAAGTAACATCCCTAAATATAACCCAGAAAGCCTAAAAGAAGATCCAACTAAATTTCTTTACAAATTTCGACTGGCCACAAAATTACAAAATGTGGATCGAGAAGATATATCAGCGAAAGAATTATAGTAGCAACTTAAAAAATAAATTCATGAGGCTGCAAGTGAAGCTTTGGGCATAAAGACAAACATGAAACAAAAAATCAAGAATGGTGGTCGGAGAATATGCAAACGTTAGTAAAACAGAAGAAAACTGCTTATCAGAAATGGATATCAACGAGAAAGGAGTAAGATTACAAGATATATAAAATATTAAATATGTATAAGATGTAAAAAGAGAAGTAGTGAAAAGTAAAAATGAGATGTGGGATCGAAGATGTGCAGAGGTGGATAGGTATATAGATGGAACAAGAGTTGGACAAGCGTGTAAGGTGATAAAGTCTCTCCAAAGGGAAGGAAATAAAAAATCTAACTTACAGTTAATAGATCTAAAACAGTGGAAACACGGTTTTACTGACAGGGGATAGATGTAAATTAAAAAAGATATATATAATAATGAGAATATTAGACTGGAGAGAACAAGCAAAGGAACGAAAACAGTGAAACAACCTGCCAAGAATATAAAAGCCAGAGGCTGCTTGTATACCCTGTAATACTATATAGTATATATAGTGTAGTGTATATATAGTGTAGTATTTAAATTTTAATGAAAATGGTAAAAATGCAATGATTATACTTACATCATCATGGTGATACCAAAATATATACGCCGGAGGCTCAGGACTAAATCTAATGGAGCAAGTTAGGTTAATAGTACTACCTTTATCGACATGTAGATCTGGTCCTCCCAGAATTTGAGCGGTAGGTACTGTAAGAAAGTAAAAAATTCAGAAATAATAATTTAGTATATAAAAAATTGGTATTATTTAAAAATAAGTATTTATAAACGGCTAAAATAATTGATTGTATGCCAATTTATGATAATTGCTGAGATCTTGCAACAAGCAAGCTTAAGTGATAAGCAAATAGTTGTGAACCAAATCTCATAGAGCAACTATGAGACAAGGACTGCAATTAAATTCTGCAAGAATTCATCAAACATCAAAACTCGCCTTAACCAAATTTTACGAAAAATGAGGTTAATATGGTAACGTATTCTTAAGGTTGATATGCTCCTCTTACAGTACTATTTCCGTAACAAATGTTGCTTTATCCCATTAATATTTAACGCCAAAATATTGCTGTCAGCGCAAAACTCGCCTTATCCACTGCATCTTACGTGCCAAAACTGGCCTGATCCACGCAGCCTATACGAATGCTGGAAACACGAAGCACGTGTTCCAAACTGACAATTTTATTTTTATTCGGTTGTTGAGGCAGTTGAAGCAGAAGCAGATAACACCCTAGCAAATCGAAATGATTGGAATCCTTTCAACCCAAACGAAAGACCACCTACCATCGAAAACGTTGCCCAAGCCATTAAAAAGCTTAAAAATATTAAATCACCAGGAGTTGATCAAATTTGCAGTGAGCTCTACAAGAATGATGGCGATGCCCTACTACAGACACTGCATAAGCTTTTACTTCTTATTTGGCATAATGAGACCATGCCCTGTGAATGGTCTCAAGGCGTGATATGCCCGTTACATAAAAAAGGTGACCAGCTCCAGCGTGACAACTATAGATATATAACCCTGTTAACAACTGCTTACAAAATACAAGCAAATATTCTCTACGAAAGGCTGCAAGTTTACACAGTGGGCATACTTGGTAAATATCAAGCTGGATTCACTCCAGAAAAATCAACAATTAACCAGATTCATTCAATAAGACAGATTCTCGAGAAAACATTATAATTCAATATTGAAACCCATCACCTATTCGTCGACTTCAAGGCCGCATACAACAGTGTCAAGAGAACAGTGCTATACCAATCAATGCATGAGTTTGGTATACCAGAGAAACTTATCCGACTAACGAGAATGACAATGTCTAACTTAGAAGCCACTGTTAGAATACAGGGAGAGAGTTCTAGATCCTTTGAGATAAAGGATGGACTCAGACAAGGGGATGCTCTGGCTTGCCTCCTATTTAATATTGCCTTAGAAAAGACAATCCGAGATACACAAATTAGGGATGGCGGTACTATTTACAATAGATCGATACAAGTTCTAGTATATGCTGATGACATTGACATAGTAGGGCGTAGCAAGCGAGATGTTGAGCAATATCTCCTAGAATTAGAAACAGCTGCGAAACAGATCGGTCTAGTCATCAACGAAGACAAAACCAAATACATGTTGGTTACAAAGGATCCGACAGCAAATGAGGAACGAGAAACAGTCTTTGGAAGTCATACCTTTGGACGTGTTGACAACTTCACATACTTGGATCGCTATTGACTGCTACCAATAAAACAAGCGAAGAAATCAAAAGACGAATAAATCTTACAAATAGGGCATACTATGGACTCCAAAAGCATTTCCACTTAAGAAACATTTAAAGAAGAACTAAAATTATTATATACAAACCATAGCTGAGGCCGGTCCTCACATATGGAGCAGAAACATGGACTCTAACGCAGAAAGATGAAATACTTTTGGGAATATTTGTGCGTAAAGTACTTCGCAAAATATTTGGAGCTATAAACGACCAAGGGCAGTGGCGCAAAAGATATAATTTTGAATTGTATCAGCTCTTTGATGAGCCAGATATCATAACGTTCATTAAAACACAGCGACTTAGATGGGCTGGACACATAATACGAATTCCAGAAAATACGATTGCTAAAAAGCTAACCACAGGAACACCTGTAGGAAAAAAAAGCAAAGGCCGACCGCGAATTAGGTGGTTAGATGGAGTGGAAACCGACTTACGAATATTAAAAATCAAAAGATGGCAACATGTTGCCAAAAACCGAACAGAATGGCGACGAATCTTAGAGCAGGCCAATTATTTGATAAATTTATTCAAGTTAAATTTTTTGAAATAATACGAAATTCATTGGTCTAAACATGGAACAAAAAATAAAGTCGGCAGAGAGAGGTAGAAGTAGAAAAGTTGTTGGAGACAAATCAAAGTGGAGACGAGAAATTTTAAAACGTGAGCAATATGTTGTAGCTGTGTCTAAAATTGACAAATTATTAATAAAGTATTGTTTTCTATTTTTTGTAGACATTCTCCAACAAGCTTGCCAGTATATCCTAAGTGCATTTTATTGTACACTAACACTTGGTGTACCTTTTCGCTCGTAAAAAATAACTTCGGTAAAGGTTTTTTAATTTTACAAGAAACTTCATAACGTGGATAAGACACGTTTTAATATGTGACTTTTTTTTTGACTAGTTTTTAAACTCTTTTTTAATAACAAATTTAATAAAATGTTAAAGCTTTTTAATATATCTTGAAAACGAAGCCTTAAAGAATAGTTTGAGATTTACAATAAACTTACCGACCACATCTAAGTTAACGAAATAACTTTTCACAGGTTGAGTACTAATCTGACATTCATAAGTGCCAGCATCTCTCTTTTGGGCCCATTTGATCTGCAAAGTCCAGTCATCCGTTTCAGGATGGTGATTTGCTTGGAATCGCTGGTCGCTCGTGTAGGTGTAGCTAGCCACTGTGAGGATATGAATGTCTCTGTGTCTGATCCATGATACCTAAAACAAAAATAATCGTTAAAGATTATTAAATTTATTTCACGGCGGTAATAATGCAGTGCATTTTTGAAGCTAAGTCTCAATCGGGGACATATAGTAAAGGGAAGTCGATATAAAGTATTATAACTGATCCTTAAAGACAAAATAGAGGGCCGTAGAGGTGTAGGAAAAAAACAAGTTTCTTGGTTAAAAAACATTCGTGAATGGACTCAGATACCAAAGGACAATTATTCCATATTGCATAAGATCGAGGAGCCTTCGCAATGGTGATCGCCAACGTCGGATAATTCTGATATGGCAAGCGGAGAAAAAAAAAGAAGGTAAATCGAAGGTAAATTTTACTTTAGTACAAAAGGGGTTTAACTAAACCTGCCCACAACGCCGGCATCTCTCATTCTGAGCACCGTGCCTGGTTCATTTTGTGTGCGTCAAACTATGCAACGTTTGTTATGCTACACTTTTATGGCGCCCAACGTGGGCACCATTCTTCTTACTATTGCCTGATCTTTTTATCCACATTTCTAGCACTGTCCAATGTCTGGTTTGGCAGTTTTTTAATTGACATACATATTGCCGTACTGTTCATAAATACAGCGATTCACAGCTGTTAAGACTTAAATGAGTTTCCTATCAATTTTCTTAAAGTTTGTTCCTTTACAAGGGGACTTTATAAGTAGATAGATTTGCTTTTGAAAGGATTTCTTCTTCGCTAAAATCCAAAGATTTTTCACTAATAAGTTTTGTATCCAAGAATGCTTTTGTGTAATTATGATCTGCAATTCAATATTGACGGATGCGCAAATATTGACACTTGCACGCTTCGAAAAGTATTATTTCACGTGTTTGGCACAAGGAAGATGCAGGTCTTTTTTTTTCAATTTTTTTTCTTATTTTTTCAAAAATTATCTAGTTGAAAATAATTTGAAGTATTAACTAAAACTGTTTGCCATCGATTGATATTATGTCTTTCGGGTTAAAATAAAAACTTTTATTAAAAAACAGTTTTTCGCAATTTCCCAACAATTACCAAATATGCAGCAAATACAGCAAACTCATCAATTTCTTGATATATTATATGAAAATCGCATACTTCAGTACAGGTAACGTAAAACACTTTTATCACTTGGATATTGCTAAACTTTTTATTTATATCTATTTATTGATTAACGATATATTACTGTTTGAGAAGGAGCTCATCTTCGATACTTATTTACGGTTCGACGAGAATCAATTTTAAGTTTGTTACATTCCACTTTTCCACTTAGACATTTTAATAAACATTTATATAAATTTTCCTGTAGATAACAGCTCAAATAGCTATGCTCTCAACTTACACTAGTGTTAAATCTTGGAATAGTTTACTGTCTCTCATATTGTAAACTATTTGTAGAGTTATGCTGGATAAAGTCACAGTCACCAAGTTTAAACCGTATCCGCAATACCGAATTATTTCCGTGTATACAGAGAAACTTGCAACTTTCTTACATATATCTTTCAAATGTAACTTTCAATCAATATAATACAAAGTAATGCACCAGTAGAATAAATAGAAGAAAAGTTATAGGATTTTATAACGAACTATAGTTAACTTCAGCTATAGTACAATAAAATAACACAAAAATGTAGAACTGCATATAGAAATAGATATAGAAGAACTCAAAAATGAATAATATAAAATAGCACTAAATAAAATAAAACATTAAAATATTTTTTTTTATTAGTTGAACACCCTTCAAGAGCTGTCAACACTGTAATCTGACCAAAAAGTTTTATCCTACATAAATACGAACAATTACCTAATAATATTTCCACAGGTTTTTGTTTTTACAACCCTGAGTGGATCCTAGCCTCCTCAAGAATTTTTGTTCAGTCGTTCCTATCCATCGCCTTTCCCCGCCAAGCACGTATTCCCATATTTCTCATGTGTTCATCGATGTTATCAAGAAATCTTGTTCTGGATCTACCTCTTCTTATCTGACCAATGGGTCTATCAAGGAGCGTCTTTCTAGCTGGTTTACTTTGTAACATGTTTTTTATAATTAAAATAATAAACAATTTACCCTTGTTACTGAGACGCCCATGGCCCTATTCGCAAATAGCTATGCGGGTGGGTTCACTCATTCTTGTTAAATTTTATTAGAATCTGCCGACTTCTCAGATTACGGAAGAATCTACTTGGTTAATCCTTGGGTAATCCTTTCCGGTGCTGGTTCTTTTTGATAAATTTGGTAAACATCGTCGAAAGCACGTTATAGTAATTTTCTGAGAGAACCTAATCCAAATGGATTTATCTTTTCTCACGTTCCTAGCTAGAAAAGTCCCGGTATTTTCGATGTCGTTAGAACCTTTTTACCTTCCTAGAAATATATACAGTCTGGCCTGTCATTTTTAAATAGGGGATATTTCACCTTTTTTTGGGAAGCTTGTGAAATTTTGAGGGGAAGAACATTACATTTGGCAGAGTAGTCTTTGAGTAAAGACGCTAGCTTATCTTACTGTCTCTGTATTATCTTACCGTCTTGGTGAATTATTTATTTAAGTGTGTATACACTTAAATATTCGAGTTTCTTAATCTGATACCATATTAGATTAAATATGGTTATAAAGTACCAATATTTTATTTTTAACTTCAGTGCTTCAAACTAGTAACGTATATTAGCTTCAGTGAAGTAGTGCAGCAGTCATCAAGATTTATTGTAAGTTATCGTAATCAGATTACCTTTAATTATCTGGGCGAATCTGCGTTCAACCATCTCATCACCTATAGTTAAGGTTAGCTACTGATTTAGCATTCAATTAAGAGAAAAATATAATATTTCCATACAAACTTTCAATCAGCTATTAAGAACTTCTAATAAATAATAATTACGAACATTTAATTCTCATTAAGAAGAGTTAACCATAAACAAACAAATTATTTAAAACCAAGTGCGGGTTTTTATAATACAGAGTTCTTGTAAGCTTTTTGTAATCTTTAGAATTTAACTTTAATTTACTTTGTATTATTTGCTATTCATTTTTTTAACATACTGTACCCCTTATCTCGAGATAAGCTTATTAACAGCAAAGAGAGATTACTTGAATCAGAACATCAGGCTCTCTTCGCTGATAATTTAAACTGTGCATGATTTTATTATATTATTGTATTTGTAAAGGTATTTCCTAATCATAATACTGTTTATTTTTATATGTATACCACCATTTAATAAGTGATTGTGCATTTCTTTTACTTATCATCAGATTTATTAAAATTTATTTGTGTTATTGAATATATTATTTTGTTTTATCAATGAATTTTATTTGTCGACTCCTAATAAGTTTTCTGATATAACAATACCTCTAAATATTTGTTCAATTATTATTATTTCTTCGACCAGCAGAAGGATCAGGCTGATTAAGTTTCGTAGGTTATATTTATTATTTGTGTAGGTAGTGTGTTGACCAAATTTATTTAATAATTAACTGTTGATATCTTCCCTTGGATTTGGTCTCAGGACCTAAATATCTTTCCTTATCTCTTTTCGTTTCTAGCGTTTCTTAATTTTCCTCTTTAACCCCAAAAAGTTAAGTGGCGCCCTTTTTCTATCTTATCTTATCTTTGGTAATTTTACCTATCTAACTTTTTGTTTAGTTCTGTATCTTCTCTAATACATCTTATCCTAATCTATCTTTACTTATTTAGTCCTTTGGACCCATTCCCGGTTCCAAAAGCTAGTTTCGAACCCACAACTTGCTCTCCACCAACCATCTGGCTGCCGTCCGCAGTGTCTTCATTGGTGATCTTTCTAGCACCATCCAAAAAAAGGTTTGCGAGGTTACAACTTTTCTTTCGACACATCCTAACATGTTCTCATTATTTTTATAAGTCCAGCTCTCTGAACCATATGTTAGGACTGGGCCTATTATTGTTTTGTAGAGTTTTATTTTTGTATTTCTCGATATAATTGTGGATTTAAGGAGGAGATTAAGCTCAAAATAGCATTTGTTAGCCGTGCAAATTCTGCGGTAGTATTATTTTCAGTGTTAGGAAGCGCTCCCAGGCATAAAAATTCGTCCACTGCTTCGATGGCATCGTTTTTTATAACAAGTGGTCGTAGGATTTGTGGTTTCGTGCTTATTTTCATATACTTCGTTTTGTTGGAGTTTATTATTAAACCTATTTTTGTAGCTGATTCTTTTAATGCATTATATGCCTCTCCTACCGCGTTTTCTGTTCTCCCTACAATATTGATATAATCAGCATAGGCAAGCAGCTTTTGCACTAATTTATTAATATATATTGAACTAAGGGTTGTGATTTGTGACATACGTATTACTTTTTCCAGAGCTAGATACAGGAGAGAGTGTCACGCTGGCGCAGCCCTTTATTTGTTTAAAAAGGTTCAGACAGTTTTCTCTGAGTTTGTTACCCGGAGGTTTTGTTACTTACAGTAATTTATTTACACAAGCACTCACGTACGCTTAGTTGTTCTGAAACTTAGCTTGCTTAGTAAAATGGATTCTCTATTAAATGATAATATAGCATATCGTGAAATGAAAAATGACCCTAAGAAACTTATTCCAAAAAAGAAATAACGAATTAGTCGATAGAAGGACAAATGTGCTATATTTCACCAAATACTGATAATTTCCTCAACATAAATAATGCCGTAGCTCCAAAAAATATATGGTCTATCGACAATACAGACATTGGATATGCCCCTGTACCCTATAGTCTCATGTATTTAGTCTCCTTTTGAAAATCTTTTAAATATTCGAAGAACAATATTTCTAACGCAATTAATAAAAATCCATACCAACTGAGTTGCTATCGAGGATCCATAGAGATAGCTTTTCTTGGGTTGGCAACCCCTGGGAGTCTTGCGTTGCCATGATTTAAATCTGTTTAAAATTACAACATCATTCAGGTTCACTAGGAAAACAAGGATTCAGACTAAAATTTTCTAATTGCACTTTCGCGAAAAATTCTGTAAAATACTTATGGTTTAATGTCGCAATTA